CAGATTGTAGATTACTGCCGTGCCTGTCCTGAGAGGATGCTGAGGTGAAGGAAACATCAGAGATGCTTTGCAAGAACCAGAAACTGATGAAACAAGTGAATGTAGTGACCTTCTCATGACGGTCTGGTGGAAAGGTGGTCAGTTCTGCCTCATAACCTGCATGCCTTGCCTGAGTGGAGCGGCAAAGACAAAGTTAGTCTTGATGTGCAGAGCTCTCCTTATCTATAACTTTAGATAGTTTCTGCAGTGAACTTCTTTTTGTAGTTCTTTGAGCTCCAAGCCGATCATAGAGCAGGAACACAAAACAGGGAAGGCTGACTTAGAGTTTGCATATCTAAAAGAAAAACTGAGGTTATTATGCCGTCATATTTGTGGCAAAACAGATGGCAGTAGCAGTCTACTCAATTCTAAAATAAAATAGGAACAGGAAAACATTTGCCATTTTTATACGTTTTAGAAATCTAAACAACTTTAAATTCTTCTTGTGTGACAAAGCCATTATTTGAAACTGCATGTCCCTGAAATTGTTGTAATGTACTTGCATAAAACAACACAGATGGTAGGAAGCTACTGCTGAAACACCACCATAAACTACTTCTTCTGAGGAGGGTTTGTGTGCCTGGCTTCCTTGTGTGCTTTTTGTAGATGTGAAAACCCACAAAGTCAAAGAGATCTCTGAAATAGTTTATGTCTGACCGTGTTGTCAAAGTTGAAATCTTTATATATTGATTGGTGAGTGTCAAAAATATCTTCTCTTGGTCTTCAGCCTCTATCAGTCTTTGCAGACATTCTAAGATTTTGCCATAAAAAATGCATTTATCTACATCTCACATTTATTTGTGTTTAAATTTAGCTTGGCTTTGGTAAAAGAAGGGCATTTTTTAGATTCTTGACTGTGCGTTCAAGATGTATTAACACACACGAACATGCTTTAGCTGTGATTATTATTTAATACATGAAAAATGTCCCTTCTGTCCACTATTTAACATTACAGCCCACAGGAACAGGAACATAGCAAAAAGCTGAGCTGCTGTGCTCAAGTCTTGTACTTTTTAAGTCTTGAAGACAAAATAAATCCATCCTGTGGTTTCCAGTGAGCTGCTGTCATCTTCTTGCTTCTCTCCCATCACGGTCTTCTGTTCCAGACGACTCTGTTTTAATCCCTCACTTGTTTCGAGAGAGGGGGAGGAATGGAGGTATGACAAAAGCAGGAATGAGCGATCCCACACTAAAAAGCCTGATGAGGAGGCATAAACAAAGCGCACTTAGCTTTCACAGTGACACGAAACATAAATGCTTTCACGCCAACAAAGCTCATTCTGCCAATAAAATATTGTCATACAGCTGACAGTGACAAAGACCCTGTGTGGGCAAAAACTGAGGTGAGAGCTGCAGATTTGAAATTCTGTTCTAAGCAGAACACCACAATATTTCACTTTCACTTTCACTTGTAATCCAGAAAACCAGAGAGTAACGTTTTGTTGACCCAGTAGACTCTAGTTATTTTTGACATGTTGTAGAAATGACAAAAGTATAATTAATAACCTGTAGACCAACGGCCTTCTATTTAGTTATCCCAATGACATGAATGTATCCATGCTGGTCTGCTGAAATGGTTTTCTGGTGAACCTGACTTGGCTAAAATGAAAAAAACAGAAAAAAAACCAGAATAAAAACAAAACAAACAAACAAATATATATATATAGCACTTTTCTACTCTATCGGAGCTTTACATAACTTGCACATTCACTTTTTTCTACGGTGTTCTTAAGTGCTTCCTATCTGACATTCACACTCTGATGGATTCATGGGAGAGCACCATGGGGTTAGTATTTTGTCCAAGAATACTTGGCATGCAGACTGGGATCAAACCACCAAATCTCTAGTTAGTAGGGGACCTGCTCTACCACCTGAGCTACAGCCGGAACATTGCGTTCACATATAGAATATCTACCAGTTACCATTCATCTATTAAGATTTTGATATCCCTCTATCCTTACTGGACTTAAAAAAAAAACAAATGACTTAATTGTCAAAGGAGCTTGCAAAGAAAATTAATTAATTAATTAATTAATTAATCTTTTATAGTGGACATTTTTCAAAATCCCCATGAATGCCATTCAAAACAACAGAAAACGATGAACCTCACTCACTCATTCTGTGCAGGGGCTTAAAATGAAAACTCACTTTGTGCTAAAGCTAGCCAGCAAACACTCCAGGAGCTGTTTTAATGGGGCACAGAGTTAAATCAGAGAGTAGCAGAAAGACATGAAATCTTAATCGACCTGCGAACTGAAAGAACAGAAAGAAAAGTCCGTCATCAGAACTTTATCGGTTTTGTTACCTAAGGTCTAAGCAACTCCACAGCTCGTTACTGTATTTCCCACAATATCTGTTGCTACTGTAATGACCGCTATGAAAGTACTGCTTGCCACTATGTCAGATCTTTCCAGTGGCAGCTTAGAAGTTTTTAAATTTTCAATAAATAAAGAAAAACGTAGTGATGGGAGAGAATGCAGGAGAGGAGGAACACCTGGCTCCAGCAGGAAGACCATCATGACTTAACCTACCCTCTGAGGTCTAACTCTAACCCCTAATCTGAACCTTGTTCTGTTAGAATGTATGATTTTTGACTTTCAAGACTTGTTCTTGTAGGTCGTTGCAATAGGTGGACAAAAAATAGACATTCTAACTGATGCATATCAAAAGTTTTTATTGTCATCAAAATGTAGGGCTGTGGCTACTGAATTTAGGTCGACTCACAAGACTGTAAAGCAATATGACCAATCTTTTAATACAGGAGCTGACGCGCCATAAGAATTTGTTCTTCTGCCTCAAAATCATTTTTATATTTCACACTTTGAAACCACACGTGACACACCCAGTCCTAAGACTCTCGAAACCTGATGAGCAAATTGAAGTAGCTGCAGTCACGTCGATACTTTGATTTGAGAAAATCTTGGAGATTTGTTGATGTGAGCCTTAAAATAGCTGTAAATAGGTACCTGCTACTCCAGTGAAGATGTTCCCCAGGTGCCTTTCTAAATAAAATGCTGCCTAGCTTGCAGTGAGCATCTCACTCCTGTATGGCAGCAAGTGATGAATGCTTCATGTGGCTCCAAGTTAACTAAGTTCATTTTGAAACACTCCCTGGAGCGTTGCCATCAATCAAAGCCTCTCCCAGGAGCTGTCAAGCAACTTTTCCTGCCTTATTCTGCTACCATGTGCGGTTGCGCCACAACAATATCCAGCCCACCCCATTTGCTTCCATTTCAGGCAGCTCAGGCACTTACTTAGTTCCCTACTTTTGCCTCTGGGCTGGATATTTAACATGCAAGACAGCCTCCAGCCTCCTTTTAACCCAAGAATGGCTTTTGGCATAGGCCAAAGAGAACAACACCTACTCCAAAGTGCCACCAACGGGAGTGGCGCCAAAGAGAAGAAAAAAGATTTCCTCATTGCTGATAATTTTACCCTTAAAAGTCTGCCATTTTCGTGCCCATAAACAGTTATAACCAGTACTCGAGCCACAGCCTACAGATGAACCTGAGAGGAGTCTACAGATAGACTGCAAGGAGACGCTCAGCAGGGGGAAGGCGATTGTTGTATAAGCTGAGTGCATCTTTTTAATCTTATCAGCTAAAAAAATGATCTGTATTGATACAAAAAAACAAAAAAACGACCAGCCCATGGGATAGGAAATCCTGAACCAAACATGTGCTGTCCACATATCCTGGCACTAGGAAGCCCTGAAAATATTTCTGCCTGTGGTGTAGTGGGAGTAGCAGACTAGCTGATATAGAACGAGGCTGATTTTAGGGGAATCTGTTATTTTTAAGCTTTTCCACGGTAGTTGCTCACAGCATTGAGCAACTACCGTGTATGCAGTGATGTTCTCAGTGTTCCCTGCCAATATTAGAACATGAGCATCACTGAAACAAACTCGTACATCGATAATGTAGACCCTGAAGTCTAGATGATGAAGTAAATCACACAAATCCAGATGTTTTATTGTCATTGGCCTCCAACTTAATAATCGTGCTGCTCATTTGTTCCAAAAAAAAACAAAAAAACAACCCACATCAGCCTTCATCGAACCACATGTTGAAGTGTTTCCAATTTAAACTGGTAACAAATGCCATGTTAGAGGTAGTGATAGTTGCACAAACACATAAATTTCAACCAAGTGACTGCGGTTTTCCAGCTGTTTACTTTTATTTTCACCTAAAATTTTTTTAGTCTTAAGTTGCCTTTAGGTTCCATGCTTAAGTCCTACATTTCAGGTTTGTTGTCTGAAGTCAGAAACAAAATGGTTTTCTTGCACATGTACCAAAACCGGTTCCCTTGTACACAAAGGACCGGGCTGTAGCCACCAATTCATCTTAGACTCATCAAGGAAGCTACTCAGCTTTCAGCCACCATATATATATATTTTTAAAAAGAAGTAGACAGACAGTCAGAAGTGTGTATGCTTAGCATTGGTGGATGCTGTCATTATGCGTTCCATTCGGCTGAGAGTCAAATATGGCTAAAGCACTGCCAGTGACTTAGTGGGTAAAAGAAATGAACTAAAGAAGAAAAAGAGGAGGGACGCATTTTCACGTTCATTAGCCGGCCTGTCCCTCTGGGCTCAAACACAGAGCTCAGTGCACGAACTGCCCTCCCCGATGAACCCATCCATCCACACATAGCACACAAACTGCATTATCCTCATTTCCTGGGACACTCTCCTTCCCCTTTTACCTTTCTTGCATCCCACTTCTCCCATTTTCACCTCCGTCGTAGTTTATCTAATGCCACCTCTCTCCACCCTGTCTTCTTTCCTGTCCCTTTCTCCCCCCTTTTCTTAGAACACATCATCGCAGCCTTCCTCACCATCCCCGTCTTCGGTCTCTCCGCTTTCCAGCCAATGGCTGCTGAGAGGGGCGTGGTTAAATAGAAAGCGGATGGACGGAGCTTGTTGGGGGAAAAGGGAGAGGGAGACACAGAGGAGAGCGACGATGAACAGAGACGCTTTCCTTAGCTTCCTGGAGAAGCAACGCCAGGCTTGACACTGAGTGATGATTGTCACGCAGAGAGAGTCGGAATAATAACGCGGAATCAAATCCACAGAGAGAGGGGAGGAGGGGGCTCAGTCTGTGGATACCTGCGCGTCTCCACTCCGGCCGCAGGTGCGCTAGGGTCCCTCTAAAGGGAGTTTGATCTGTGAGAGGCAAGTGCGAGAAGAACCAGTCCTGCAGGGATTATTTTTCATTTTCTCGCCAAGTGTCAGTTTTATTTATTTATTTAATTTATTCTTTTAGTTAAACTGAAAGCAAACTTTCTCTCCCCTTTGCGCCACCTGCAGTCATAGTTCAACTCCAGGTCTGACTCCAGCTTCATTCTGAGCTTTGTAAGTCTGTGGGCTGTTCTTTCAGACCTTTCCTGAGCTCGGATTACACTGGACAGCACCTCCAGTCTGAAAGGAGAATTCCTCAGAACTCCCAAGTTAACGAGAATCGGGAGTCCTTTCCAGTCCAGTCTTTGCTTTAAAACGAGCTGATGAAGAGAACAATGTCTGGATTATTGCAGCCGCTGTTCAACCTGCCCCGGGAAAGAGGGGAGGAGTGAGGAAAGCAGTAAAAGAAGGGAGGAGGAAGAGGTGAAGAAGGGGGGGAAGTCGGCGGCGTTTAGCTGCCGTCCACTAGTTCTTTAACGCCTTTGCTGCCCGGGTTCTCCACTCTCTTTTTACGAGATACACGAACAAACATCAAGAGACGCGCGGGGAGGACCTGCGTTCACACCCTGGGTGAGTTTGTGTGTGTGTGTGTGTGTGTGTGTGTGTGTGTGTGTGTGTGTGTGTGTGTGTGTGTGTGTGTACACTGGGGGAATCAAATGTGGGGAATAGTAGAGGATCGCTGTTCTGCGTGTTCGTGCCAGGTGCGTTTTTACGCACAGCTCACTCCGGGTTGATACGCACAAGTCAATGTGGGTCCAGGAGGATTAGTGACGCATGATCGATAAGAGATGTGAGAAAAATGAAGAGATTGCAATTCAGGTGATTGTGACAGGACGCTTGTTTTGCCCGTTTAAGCAACTTTACGCCCAGAAAAAATGCGTAAATAAATACTGGCGCTCACACGTGGGTCTTTATTTGTCATTTTCCCCTAATACATTGCGCATGTTTCCAATAAAAATGTGCGCAATTGTGTTCCGCTTCAACCCGCAGAGTCTACATTCCCGTCACGCTTGGGAAACGCGTTTCTTTGACAGCTTATGACAGCTAAATTGTAGTGTATGTATAACAACCTCACAATCGTGTGTGTGAGTGTGCGGACAGAAAAAAAAAATCTCGCTGTTCTAACTAGTGAGCACCTTCCTGCCTGCCTCTCTCCTCCCAGTGTGTCTTTCTCTGCCTCCGCGTGTGTGTGTGTGCGCGAGATTGTTGCTCCATCAGTCACCCTGAATGCCTGCCACGCACCGCACAATTTCTCACAAATTCGCTCAACCATGTAAGCACATTTACCTGTCAGCTACTTTGTCGAGACTACTGTAAGTAAGAAATCCTCAGAGAAGACGAGGTGCTGCCTCGGCAGCTGTGTGCTATATATATATATATATATATATATATATATATATATATATATATATATATATATATATATGTATATTCCTTTCCCTCCGTAATGGGGTCCAGTCAAACAAATAATGGGGGAGGAAGAAGAAGTGAAAAAGGTGAAAACCCAACTCTGGGAGCGGGACACTTGCTCACCGAAAGAGATCAGTTTTCCATCGTTAAATAATGCACCATTCAATCAGCGTACACACCCACACGCTCACACTCGTTCACCTGGAGGGAGGACAGCTCTTCCCGTTTTCCCTGCCTGCGTTTAAACAGCAGTGACGCGCTGACGAATGCTCGCTGGAAGAGCCTGCAGATGAAAGGGTGAGTGCAGGACACAGCGGGCGCATAATGGCGTGTTTTGTAAAAAAGAGCGTGAGCGCAGAGCCGTCCTAACTTCACAAAGTGAGAAGTGATATTGAACGCTCCCGACCAGCGATGGGTGCGGGCGAAGTGGCCGTTTGAGAGAGTTGACACACGCACCAAACTGCAGCCATTCCTTATCGATATTGTTATGCTTTTGGGCCCCGATTCAATTATTCCGCTGTTGTGCAGTACAGTAGATACCAATGTATGATTGAAATCAATAACACACAACATTAAAACAATCACCATGAACTTCAGAGATTTTCCTGAGAGAGACCGAAAAGGAACCTCTGAATTCTAGTTGAGGTGAATAATTTGCCATTTTTATCCTTTCTTGTGTCCAAATCCTCCATTTCCCATAATGCAACCAATTTGCAAGCCTTCTTTGCTGTTTGAGCTCCATATTTGTCAAACTTTGAGCACTCGGTCTGGAACACAGCCTTTATCAAAACTACGTTATAGAACATCATGGTAACAAAGAAATGCAGAAAGTATTGTCACTATGATTTCACTGAAGTTGATACTGTCCAGATAATATTGAACAGTATAATCTAGAAAAACAAAACAAGAGCCTTATCTCCACAATGGAGTTCACTCCAGCTGCTAGAAATTGTAACTAGAGCACCATATACACTCCTAAATATAGCCCCCAACAATTGCAGGCACATGTCCTGGTGTTGAGTAAGGAAATGACTCTTTTAATATTAGATCTGTGTGCTGCCATATGAATGTCACGGTGTCCTGAAGCTGAAAAGATTGCACTGATATACAAATGCATTGGTGATTTAGATATTTTTATGGACACAATGAAGTCAAAGTGGTAGTACCTTTTAAATATATATATACAATTTTTAGATTTTCACCCAGAAATGACATATTAGGGGTAATTTTTAGGTTCAGCATCTTGTCTGAGCATGGTTTTGCTTGCAAACTAAAGGAGCCAGGAATTAAAACACAACCTTAAGATTGGTGGACAGCCTGCTATCCTGCCTGAGTCGTAGCTGCCATATAATATGATGAACTCTGCACAAGACAGAGTAGACAATTATGGTATACCTCGAGAGTGCAGGATAAATATTGCAATTGCAAGGTGATTGGCTGCATCGCAATACCACAACCTTTCTCTCACAAAAGCATCCATATAAAGAATTCCATCCATCAATCAATCCTTCCATTTATTTTTTCCGGTTATCCAATTCAGGGTCGCAGGGGGGCTGCAGCCTATCCCAGCTGTCCTAGGGCGAGTGGCAGGGTTCATGCTGGATAGAGGAGAGGAAGTTACATAATGAGATGTTTAGAAAAACGGTTTATCAAAAAAATATATTAAACAGAGATTATTAAGGAATCAGATGCAGAAAGTTTCCCACTAAAGTATTTAATTTTTCTCCTTTTTAGCCTTTCTGCCGTCTCAGGAGAAATGAATGTCCGAGTGCTCACATTAAGTCCGTGTGCATGTTTATCAAATCACTGCCTAAAGCCTTGCATTCGATCGCACATTTCACTGCTTCAGATGTGTAGAAGGGAGCTTGGTTTCACTTGTATTCTAATGCAGTGCTGTTGCTGTTTGTTTCTTTGGTTGAGAATCATACAGCCTCCGTAGGTGGAATGAAACCTGTGATTCATCAGATACCCTAGTGCAGGCAGGCTTAAAGGGAAAAAAAAAACACCTTAATGCATTCTATCATTGTGGTAATATTCCAGTAGCAATATAAAATAGCAAAAACAAACAACTTTGCACTGTGTTTAGGACCTTGGAGAATCCTTTTAAAAGGCTCCTGCTGGTCCCCACTTAAGAACCAGTGCACCCATGCAGGAGTACATCGCTCTGTAAAAAAGTTTATGTGCTTACAATAATAATTTGTTGATATAAATTGGCTCCCACAACATCTTTCAGACCTTATGAGACCTTATACCAGATAAGATTAATTGAACATTTGGTATCATCCATGTCTGTGGATGTCTGCTTTTGGTGGTGCTCAGTTGTTCCACAGTCAATGACGAGATGGAACACCTCCTAGTGCACTGACCCCTTTTCCATAAGGGAAATCAGCTTGGCTGATGTTATTAGGTCCTGTTGTTTCCACGGATTTCTCCTCACATTTTCTATTTACAGTATCACTTAGCCTGATCTCAGTCCCGCTCATTAGCCTTCATCAGGACACCTAATTAATGCATTGGGCTCACTTTTGTGCCATTTCTTAAAGTGGAGCTTTAAGAAATGTTTGGAACCCAAACCAGGACCTCTCCTTAAAGCAGCAGCTGAAAACAAATTGGAACTAACTGTGAAAACAAAGCTTTCTCTGGGGAAGTGAACAATGATATCCACGTCGTTTGCGTATCTCTGAAACACCAGTGGATTATTTCGGGATACTCCATCTGTGACCTTTCTTCTGCTTCATAAGTGACGTAAACGTCCGAGCTAAATCTAATGTCGCCTTTATTGTGAGTTGCTTTTCAGAAAAACGCATCAGCTAAATGCATGTATATAAATGTAAATGTCTGCACTCAGCCTGCGTGCTTTTCTAGTGCATTTGATACAGCTGTGTCCTTCAAACTGCAAGGACATGTGGAGTTATTGAGAATTCTTTTCAATGATTGATACATAATAGCTCTCTTTCAGATTTGCACCCTGTCTCACCTGGATGCACTGTGAACTTTTTTTCCCCACACAAGCCATATATGTGTTTTTTTTAAATGCCCGAGTCAGACTGTGGAAGCATCTGAAAATAAAGTTATTCATAAATACACAAAGGTGCCTTTTTCTATAGGCTCTATTTGCTGTGCTTAGACCAGCCCAGTGCATTTTATACAGGCATGGTTGAGAAAATACCAAATTTCTCCTCCACTAATGAACCAGTGGACATGAAACACTGGATAATTCCATTTCACTGTATTTTTTAGTGTGACTGAAACAATTAGCCAGTTTATCGGGTAGTTAATTGACTGCAAACTAATGGACTTTTCGATAATTAGTTAAATCAATCAATATTTTGGAAAATACACCCATCTACTCTTGTGGCACGATGAGAAGTTCTTAGTACAGACTAGAGAGTGTTAGTGTTGCTTAGCACCCAGTCAATAGTGTATTAAGCTTTGTGCATAATTATTTACTTACTTGCTTTGGACAAAGCCAGGCTAGCTGTTTGTTTCCAGCCTTTGTGCCAAGTTAAAATAATTTACTGTAGCCTTCAGTCTTCTTATTTCAAAACAAGAAAGTAAAAATCACATTTCCTAAAATATCAAACCTTTGCTCTTCCAAGCTCAAAATGATGTTTTTTTCTTTGCAATATGGAAGTTATGATGATGGCTTATTATTTAAAAGTGGCATCATGACTTTAATGTGTTATATGTAACACATTGAGTATACAATACTAAAAGCTCTATATGTGAATAAAATAATGTAGGTGTAAAAACAAGAATATTACTGAGATAAAATCTTGCAAGACAAAGTTGACTTAATAGTATGGTCTTATTTGACTGTTAATTTATATATCTAATATAATAGTATATCTCAAAATTGATCTGAGACCACTCTAACAAAGAATAATTAATTACTGATGATTTTTTCTAAACCTGAATGCTAAAAATAGACTGTTTCCATCATGTCAAATATGATCTTTTGTACGTACTCTTTCCCTGTGCACTATAATGTCATTATGTTTGTAATTGAGTTCATGGAAATTAAAGTTAAAGCTTTTATTGTGAATTTCATGGGGGAAGTTTTGAATAAGAGAACTGTGAATTTAAGAGCAAATTTACTTTTAAATCAGTGTTAGTGTTATATGGCTATTACCAAAGAATACTTTACTTTAGAAGTCATT